CTACGTTATTCTATGCTCAATTCTGTACGTTGTGCAAACTTTGATGTCATTCTAACAAATATGAGGAGTTTAATGCACAATTTACTTATATATGGATGCTATATCCAAATATGAACCGATTTCAACGAAACTTATCACAGGTAAGGTTATACTAATTTCAGTACGTTTTGCTCCTATCAGCCATATATTGGTTCCTTGGTGCGTCAATTACATAACATCAATCTATAATATAAGGGCGCTGTATCTAAATCTCAACCGACTTTCACACATCATTCTGGATTAAATTCAAAACGCTATGCAACATAAGAACTTGGTACATTATTTAGATTAAATCGGACGAAAATCTATATATCTAATCGGAATCGATTTTCACGAAACTCAGCACACATCATTCCAGCATCAATTCAGTACGTTATGCCAAATTTCGTGCAAATCGATAGATATATAGGGACTTTGGTGCACCATTTACATGAAATCGAAGGAAACTATATATGGGAGCTATATCTAAATCCATACCGATTTCCTCGAAACTTGGCAGACATCATTCTAGGCTCAATTCAGTACGTTATGTCAAATTTCGTGCAAATCGAAAGATATATAGGGACTTTGGTGCACCATTTACATGAAATCGGACGAAACTATGTATGGGAGCTATAAATTAATCTGGACCGATTTTCACGAAATTTGGCAGACATCACTCTAGGCTGAATTCAGTACGTTATGCCAAATTTCGTGCAAATCGAAAGATATATAGGGACTTTGGTGCACAATTTACATGAAATCGGACGAAACTATATATAGGAGCTATATCTAAATCTGAACCGATTTTTCCCAATTTCAATAGTGTTCGTCCTTGGGCCAAACAAATGAGCTGTACCAAATTTCATCCAATTCGGATCATAAATGCGACCTGTACATTGCTTACAAAAATACATGGACAGACAGAAGGACGGACATACATAAATCGACTTAAAAGGTGATTCTATGCATATTCTCAAAAGGAACCATGGGTCTATCTCGTTTCCTTTTGCCTGTTACAAACATATGCACAAAGACATAATACCCTGTACCACAGTGTGTGGTGAAGGGTATTAATACCTTGAATAATCTTCAATAATACTGCAACCTATCTCTGTGTAAAATTTCATCGAGCTGAGTACATTTTTTCAGTCAAAATTTGGCATTTGGTCAATGAGGTTTATCAACACTAGCGATAATTCATGTTTCTTAAGAAAAAATTAGTGATCATGTCGATTTCAAAAGACTTGTAACTATATTAAAATTATATATTTATAACGAGTATCTTCTTCGTAATTGTAAAGAACATAGAGTAGAATACGTTAGAATTTAAAATCATTAAAAAATATTGGTAATTATTATATTCTTATCGATGCCGCCCTTAGGAACAAACATTTTTAAGATTTTCCTATAGTCGGCATATGGGTGAATAATAAGCACCTTTTCGATCATTTTGGCTCAATATTGCAAAAAAATGTTAAATAAAGCTCTAAATAACGATTAACTTATAAAAAATCAGTTTTGAGTGGTTTTACATAATGGAAGATTTGGTTTTTATCTTGAACTCTTTTAATCTCTGAAATGCCTTATTTAGCCATGCCGACAATTGGATAAAAGGTTCCCGAAGTCGGCACCATGTTTTATAATTGTAATATTTTAATATATAAAATTATTTTATATAAATGTTTTAATACGACACTGATGGAAACGCCCCATAGCAATAATTTATTATTGCAAATAGCAGAAAAATCGATGAAATATATAATTTTTGTTTAACTTTTGTTTAAACAATTTGAAAAAAGTGCCGACTATTGGCACAAAGGCACTATTTTACATAATTATTAATTTAATCTACTTTAGGGTCGTACCTAAATTCATGTGTATGCGTACGAATTTATTCACCTCAAAAGTTAAATACATGTATTTCAGTGAATGTTACCCAAATACGCATTGTGTATAAAAATACAAAGTTGAAAATTTTCAACATTGACAATGCGTATTTTGAAAATTTTTGTTTTTTGAAAATGGAATTCCAGTTATTGAAATGTTTTTGTTTCTATAAATGGAAACATTTTTCGATCAATTAAAAAAATGTTTTCATCCATGTTCGCCGTTTTCAATTGGCACAGATGCAAATAAAGTCTTTGCGTATTTGGGTAATATGGACGTCTAACAAACCCTATAAAGGTGAGAAGGTGAGCATTTTCGTACGGAGCGCAATAAATTAGGTACGACCCTTAATACAAGTTAATTAAACAAATTTGTATTCCATCGGGGGGAGTAAACAAAATTTCGAAACAGATGAACCTAAATATAATATCGTGGAAAAGATGCACTTGGAATGGTAAAACGTTTAAAAAGCGAAAATTCTTAAAGTGCAGACTGTTGGTGCACTTACCTTTTTTTCCGTCCGTTTTTATGTAAATGGAGCATCAAACACCCTACATGTGATGCGTATTTTTGGATAACGTATTGAATTATGTCTAGAATAACGTGTGTTAAGTTTTGTTGAAATCATTTCAGATTGGCTCATATAAAGACATTACGTCTATATATATACTTTTGTCCGAATTTATGTAAATGTTCCGATTGAGACGATGACATATTAATGTGATTGTTGTTGATATCTATTCGGATTTAGGTATAGTTTCCATATACAATTTCGTCTAAATGGTGGACATAATTCCCAAAGTTTTTCCGATTGCAATGAAATGCATATCTGCTTGAGTCTACAATGAAGTGTAATTAGTTTCTTTAATTCGGTATGGATTTAGTTATAGCTTCAATATATGTTCGTCGGAATTCATTAAATTTTGCTTCAGCATTCCGGATGGCATATGTAGAATTTCATTCGAATCGGCATAGATTTACATATGACTCTCATACATAGTTTTGCAACTGGTACGCCATATACAACAAATCTGCCCGATTATCATGAAATTTTGCACATATTCCAGAATAAAATATTTTTGGGTTGATTTAAATTGGTACATATCTTTGTAGATCGCATTTTTAATTTAGTCCGAATCCTAAAGATACTATGCCAATTCTCTGTTGTATGTATCCAAAGTGGTGAAGGGTACGATCTAGTCGGTCCGCCCGACTTTTGAACTTTCCTTACTGTTTTGTATTGTTGAACTTTTCTAAATTTATTACAGTCGAAGTCGTTTAAATCGACGCTCAAGGTATTGGCGAAATTGTTCGCTGTTATAAATGTTTGTCGTTGACAACGATAAATAATAAATGGCTGAACTTTTCTAGAGACTTTTCGATACAGTCGTTATAAATTTCGACTGTATATCCTACCCAAATATGTTACGAAGGTATATAATTTTATGTGTCGATTTGCACATGTGCGGCCGTCCGTCTTTTCATACCGGAAGGATATATTTGGTACTGATTGGTTGTCAAATCTTCCTTCCTATATATATATATATATATATATTGGTAAAATCCTATCAGTTGGGTGCAAAATCTTTCTACTAAAAATCACATATAAAGTGCAATCCAGGGTGCTGTGTGAACGATTGAAGCCAATGGTCAATGACATTATTGGACCATACCAATGCGGCTTCAGGCTTGGCAATTCCACCATTGAACAGATTTTCAATCTGCGCCAGATCCTAGAAAAAAAAACTAACGAAAAACATATCGACACATTCCATCTATCGTCGTATATGAAGCGCATTTGATAGCCCTATCCGTTCAGAGGTGTTTAAAGCCATGTTTGCGTTTGACATTCCTGCAAAATTGATACGGCTTTGCTGGTAACTTTAACTGGTACAATGTCAGCATTTAAAGTAGTAAAGGACCTCTCGGAGCCCTTCAATACCGAACGAGGATTCAGACAAGGTGACAGTTTGTCGTGTGACCTGTTCAACATCCTGCTGGAAAAGGTCATACGAGATGCAAATGTGAACAAAAATGCACCGTGTACATCAAACAGCATATGTTACTCGCCTACGCCAACGACATCGATATAATGGGTCGAACATTGTGAGCGGTAACAGCCACCTTTGAACGAATTGAGAAGGAGTCTGCCAAGTGGGACTGGCAGTAAATGGCGAAAAGAACATGCTGATGGCATCAACACGCAAGACGTCCAGTAGTAAAGGACCAACATGAAAACTACAGCTTCGAGGTAGTGAACTATTTTATATACCTCGATGCTACTATGGTCTGAGTAAGCAACTCAAAAGTAAGGCCACCTCTCGCCAGACCAAACTCACACTCTACAAGATGCTGATATTACCCTTTCTGTTGTATGGATATGAAGCATGGGTATTTGCGCAACCAGATGTGGCAACTCTTGGAGTGTTTGAGAGAAAAATTCTCCGGAAGATCTATGGGCCGAGCTGCAGAGACTACTTTGGCTATGTCATCTTGTGAGAATGGATGAAGATGCTCCACCTCAAAAGGCATATAAAAGCGAGCTAAGTGATGGTGCACGCTGTAATTTGGCACATTTGGTGCTAATTGGATGGCAAATCTTCCCGCCAAAAATGAACAATATTGGTCCAATTTTTTGGGTAGTCTTTTATTCTACAATGTATTTATTTAGCTAGGCAACTATAATTTCAGTTAATCGTAAACTATGAGAAAGTGACGTAAAACAGGACCTAGTAACACTGAATTTTTACTGCGGACAAATTATCAATATTGAGATGGAAAATAATAATAAAGAACCGGCGCGCTGATAAGTGCTTGCAGGGGGCAAGCGAAAAGGTCAAATATGTTAACAAATTTGCAATAAGAGTAATACCCTATACCGAAGACGATAGACAAAAACAAAAATAAATCTTATCACTGCTGCTAGGCTAGGGTCAAGTAGAATGTAGATTAAAAGAATGCAATTTTCGAAAAATATTTTAAAGCTAAATGAGATTTTTTACACGTTTTTATTTTTCAGTACACTTCTGTAAGTCACACGCAGAACACAGCTCAACGCCTTAACAGCAAAGCAGAACATCAAGAACAAAAAAATGGCCACTAAACGTTTTGGTAAGTGTGTTGATGATTTGGAGGAGTTTGCATAAAATTGTAATTAATTTATTTTCGAATTTATTTTTATTACAGCTCTCCTTAGTGTTTCGGACAAAACCGGTCTTATTGACTTGGGCAAGAGTCTGTCGGCCTTGGGTTTCCAATTGGTTGCCAGTGGTGGTACTGCAACAGCTTTACGTAATGCCGGTTTGACCGTCAAGGATGTCTCCGACATTACCGGTGCCCCTGAAATGTTAGGCGGTCGCGTCAAGACTCTACACCCTGCTGTGCATGGTGGTATCTTGGCCCGTCTTACACCCTCCGATCAGGCTGATATGCAAAAACAAAATTTCGACTACATCAATTTGGTGGTCTGCAATCTGTATCCTTTTGTCAATACCGTGTCCAAACCCGATGTCACTGTGGCTGATGCTGTCGAAAATATCGATATCGGTGGTGTGACATTGCTTAGAGCTGCTGCCAAAAATCACGAACGTGTTACTGTCATCTGTGAAGCTTCCGATTATGCCAAGGTTTTGCAGGAGATTCAACAACACGGTGATACCACATTGGAGACACGTAAATTGTTGGCCCTTAAAGCCTTCACCCATACCGCAACCTATGATGATGCCATTTCCGATTATTTCCGTAAACAATATTCAAGTGGTGTATCGCAATTGAATTTGCGTTATGGCATGAATCCCCACCAGAAGCCTGCTCAAATATTTACCCAATTGGAAAAGTTGCCATTGCGTGTGGTTAACGCATCCCCGGGTTTTATTAATCTCTGTGATGCCCTAAATGGTTGGCAATTGGTTAGAGAATTGAAAAAGGCATTGGGTCTGCCCGCTGCAACAAGTTTCAAACATGTCTCTCCCGCTGGTGCTGCTGTTGGTAATCCTTTGTCCAAGGAACAGGCTAAATTGTGTATGGTTGATGATTTATATGATTCGTTGACACCATTGGCTACAGCTTATGCCCGTGCAAGAGGTGCAGATCGCATGTCATCATTTGGTGATTTCGTTGCATTATCAGATGTCTGTGATGTTGTGACAGCAAAAATTATCTCACGTGAGGTGTCGGATGGTATTATTGCACCTGGCTATGAACCGGCTGCATTGGAAATTTTGAAGAAGAAAAAGAATGGTGCCTATTGTATTTTGGAGGTAAGTGGAGGTTGTTATAGAGAGAAAAATTAATCGGACGAAAATATATATGGGAGCTATATCTAAATCAGAACCGATTTTCAAGAAACTTTGCACACATAATTCTAGGCTCTATTCGGTACACTATGACAAATTTCGTTCAAATCGAATGATATATAGGGACATTGGTGCACCATTTACAAAAAATCGGACGAAAATATATACGGGAGCTATATCTAAATCTGGACCGATTATCACGACATTTCGCACACATCATTCTAGACTCAATTCAGTACGCTATGCCAAATTTCGTGCAAATCGAATGATATTAAGGGACTTTGGTACACCATTTACCTTAAATCGGACGAAACTATATATGGGAGCAATATCTAAATCTGAACCGATTTTCCCCAATAGGGTTTGTCCTTGGGCCAAATAAGTGACCTATGCCAACTTTCATCCTATTCATAAATGCGACCTGTACTTTGATTACAATTTAACATGGACAGATAGACGGACGGACATGCATACATCGACTTATAAAGTGATTCTATGCATATTCTCACAAGGAACCGGGAACCTTTTGCCTGTTACAAACATATGCACAAAGACATAATACCCTGTACCGCAGTGTGGTGAAGGGTATACAAGTCTTCACAAGTCTTTAAGATAAAATAAATATTTAAAAAAAAAATCCTCCCCTTTGATAGTCGACGAAAAAATATTTTTAATATAAAAAATCCTTAATAATTGATAAAAAAACATTTAAAAAAAATCCACTCCTTGATATTGATAAACAAAATCTTAATCATTTCCCCTAGATGGATCCCAACTATGAACCCTCCGCCTTGGAACGTAAAACAATTTTCGGTTTAACTTTGGAGCAGAAACGCAATGATGCTGTCATTGATCCCACCCTTTTCACAAATGTTGTTACAAAACAAAAACAATTACCCGAATCGGCTGTCCGTGATTTAATTGTTGCAACAATTGCCCTGAAATTCACACAATCCAATTCGGTATGTTATGCTCGTGATGGTCAGGTTATTGGTATTGGCGCTGGACAACAATCACGTATTCATTGTACCCGATTGGCTGGTGAAAAGGCCGATAATTGGTGGCTCAGACAACATCCCCGCGTTGCTGGTATGAAATTTAAGGCTGGTGTTAAGCGGGCTGAAATCTCAAATGCCATTGATAATTATGTTAATGGTACCGTGGGCAAGGATATGCCATTTGCACAATTTGAGGCCATGTTTGAAGAGGTGCCACAACAATTAACCGAACAGGAGAAACTTGATTGGCTTAAACAATTGAATGGTGTTGCCTTGGGTTCGGATGCATTCTTCCCATTCCGTGATAATATTGATCGTGCACGATTGGTAGGTTTTGTTACGTTATTTGTATTGTGTGTAGAATTTGTTTATGTTTCCAATTTGTTTTGTTATTACAGAGTGGTGTTTCGTACATTGCCAGTCCCGCTGGATCCACCAATGATGCTGGTGTTATTGCTGCTTGTGATGAACATGGCATTATTATGGCCCACACCAATTTACGTTTGTTCCATCATTAATGCAACAAGTTATTTTTTTTAATTTAGTTATAAGATTTACACAAAAAAGTAAAATGTTTTGTTCACATAAAAAACATAAAATATATATTGAAAATATATTATAATCAAAAATAATTTGGATATTTTAGATATCACTTTTTAACACGACCAGAAATCGTAATCACACCTGTTTTGGCATCAGCATTATTAAGATTTAAAATGAACTTCCATGAGGCATCTGGTAATATGGGTGGATAACAATCATCGTCGACAGTATAATTTCGTACCGAATAAAGGACATTCTGTAAAGAAATTTAACCCATTTTCCCCATTATTTCCTGAAAAATATAGAAAAAATTAAATACCCACATACCTCAACAAACGGACATTTACGCGGTAAATTCGATTTGTCAAATAATTCATTAAAGAATACGCCAACAAAATTATTCCAACGTCTGTCTTCAAATGATTGACACACATCGAATGTGGTTTCCAACAATGTAAAGCGATGTTTTTTATTCTTACTTAACATATACATGGCTAATTTGATAGGCCACTTGGTAATGTTACGATTTACGATTAGATCCATATTGGCAGCTTTTTCATTTGTTAGGGAAAAATTTAATGATTTCACAAAGGGTATATCCGTAACGATTGGTGTAATATTTTGAATTTCTAAACTATAATCACGCTATAAATATATTTAGGATTTTTTACATTATATTTGAGTATTTATGCTATCTATCATACATACCTTGGACTTTACAGTAGTGAATATTGTGAAAATCACTATTATAATTAGATGTAACGAATTGCCGAACATTGTTGAACACTAGACAACTGTTTAACAAATTGTGGTAACTGTGAAAGAAGAAGCTTCAATTTTACAATAACCGATTTTATGCTCTACTGTAATAATTTGACACAAATTACAAATAATTAGTCAAATTAACGAAATAGCCCAGCAATTAGTAATTGGTAGGGCAATGCTATGAATAATAATTATGTTGGAATGTATGTTATGTTCAATGTATTATTATAGCCTTTACCACACTTTGGTACAGGGTATTATGTCTTTGGGCATATGTTTGTAACAGGCAAAAGGAATCGAGATAGACCCATGGTTTCTTTTGAGAATATGCATAGAATCACTTTCTGAGTAGATTTATGCATGTCCGTCTGTCTGTCCATGTTAAATTGTAAACAAAGTACAGGTCGTATTTATAATCCGATTTGGATGAAATTTGGCACAGCTCATTTATTTGGCCCAAGGACGAACCATATCGGTTCAGATTTAAATATAGCTCCCATATATATTTTCTTCCGATTTAATGTAAATGCGTTAAAATAACTTGCGCATTGAATCAGTCACAGTTTCCTCGTTAAGTGACTGAGGCCCATTCATACTTCTAACCAGGGTGGGCGATTTAATCGCCCACAGTTTACTCAATCCGATTCCGATTAATTTGCTGACCTCCAACGTGAATTCCCAGGGATCTTCTGTATTAGATCAACGAAGCTCATCAATCTCATTTGCTTGACCAACTGCCTCTACTGAGAAATTAGGTCTTATCTCGGGTATTCGACCAGCAGGTATAAATCTAGCGGCTACAGGTGCAATGATGTCCCGGAATTTAGTTTCTGCTATCCGTTCATCAGAAGGAATGGAAATTTCGGAGTTCTTGCCAGTAGATTTTCCTATGATTAGGGAAAGTTCGGCGTTCAGAGGCGATGAAATCGGGCGGTTTGCTGAAGGAGACGATTGTGTGGAGATGGTCTGAGGCAAAAGAAATAATGGGCTGTCAGTTGGCGTCATTGATCAGTCCAGGTGACACAATGGTTATGTTTAGAGAGGAGGTTATACCTCATCGGCGGGAAGAGATCTTATACGACGTTGTACTCTTCACTTCGCCATCGGGATGATCGATAAACCGTCGGTTAAAATACCTTGTGTATTTCATTAAATCAGTTAGAGTTCCGTCATCCGTCTTGCCAGGGTTCGAAAGCGACTTAATCGTTGTTCACAGTTCACTCATACCGGTTCCAATGTTGCAACTCTTCAGATGCTCCAACCATTTGTTACGTTTATGCTCCGCGAATAATTTGCTGACCTTAAATGTGTATTACCTGACCCTGGGATCTGATGGTTTAGATCGACGTAGTTCATCGCCCTCATTTGCTAAACCAACTGCCTCTGCTGGCAAATTTGGCATCATCTCGGGTATTCGACCGACAGGTGCAATGATGTCCCGGAATTACCTTTCTGCTACCCGTTCATCAGAAGGAATGGAAAGTTCTCTTAATCGCAGGTTGGGAAACTCTCGGAAACATTGCCAGTTGGTTTTCCTGGAAAGTGCGGCGTTCAGAGGCGATGAAATCGGGCGGTCTGCTGATGGAGACTACAATGGGGAGGTGGTATGAGGCAAAGGTCAGTTTACGTCATTTATCATACCGCGTGACACAATGGTTATGTCTGGCGAACTATGACACTCTCAGTTCTGGTGGAGGTGTCATCATTTACTGTGCAGAACATGCAGCTATAAATTTGCTCTTCCAGCCATGTTCCCATCTGTTCATTACCTAGGACGGAATGCCACAACTCATGGTGGACAATGAAATCTCCTAGTACCATACGGTTATTACCTTCCAATAGGATGTTAATGTTAGACAAATAACGCGTTCGCTGTAGTCTCGTAACCGAGCCAAAGCGTAGATTAAATGAAGGTGGTTGCTCTTCGTTAACTCTAGTGGTAAAGTTGATGCATTCCTATACATATGAAGTGACTTTGATGTCATTTGAAGGAGCCGATGTGGAAGTTAAAGAGCAACAGATTTCGGTGCTGCTGCTGGAACGGAACTATTAATGTAGAATTTCTCTTTGGGTTCTGTCATGGTAGCTATTCCTTTCCATTCAAATTGATATACATCTTGAAGTTCTGTGGAGTGAAATATTGAACTTTCCGAATGTATAGGATAACGTCATTAAGCCAAACTAACAAAACGGAAATAACACACCGACATTTGTACTCATATATCGCTGAGGCACATTTCCATTTTTCTCAAGCCATAAGGCGTAGGATATAAAAAGTTTGTATTAAGACAAATAAAATCAACAATTTTGACTACACTCAGTATATATTTGTTTATATATTTCAATATTACATATTTTTATGTTAAATCACTATCTATGAACACGACCGGAAATTATAATAATACCCGTATTTAAATTATTCATATTTATGTTTAATTGAAATTGCCAAGCTGTATCGGGTAACATGGCGGGGAAGGCATCCTCATCCACAGTATAGTTTCGAGCTACATACAGGACATTCTACAAAAAAAAAAAAAAAAAATAAATACAAAAAATATGGAATTCTTTGTGCCAGTTGTAATCCTCACCTCTATGAATGGGCATTTCTTTGGAATATTGGAGGAACGAAGTAATTCCTTTTTAAACACGGCCAAAAATTTATTTGGTGCCGAATCTTTCAGAGCATCACAACCCTCAAAATCCACCTGGAATAGATTAATACGACGTTTACCCTTGGTTAACATATGCACCGATGCTCTAAATCCCCATTTGGTAATATTTCGATTAAAAATCAAATCCATATTGGCCGCCTTTTTATTGGTCAATGAGAAGTTTAGGGATTTTACAAATGGTACATCATTGACAACCGGTGTTATATGCTCAATGTCAATAACGTAATCGCGCTGGAGAGAAAAAAATATTTTTTCATCCAATTTATCAAAAATAGGATCAAATTTCGATAAAAAATACTTACCTTAGCATCAACAACTATTGGTAAAATACAGAGACCTATTAGCAGTAATTTAACCGCCATTGTCCTAACAATTGCACCATCCAACGCAAAGTGCAAATTTTTAAAATTCTAAACCAATAAAAATATCGAATTCTGCCAATTTTTAAAATATAATGTAATTAGTTCCTCAAACCAAAAATTCCTATAATTAAGTTAGTTTAATTTAAATGCGCAATAATTGCCATTAATAGCAGCAATTTAATGCGAAATATTATTTCAAATCTACAACCATTTTTGAAAAAAAATAAATAAAAAACAAGTGAAAAAGCGTTAAGTTCGGCCGGGCCGAACTTTGGATAACCTCCACCATAGAAATACTGAACATTTTTTGAAATGAAAATATAGGGAACTTACCAATCGATTGTTGTAAACCAAATGATCAGCAATTTCAATGGAATTTTCCCTAAAATCTCAGAACCCCAAAATGTTGATGTATAAAATCCTGAAAATACTTCAATTTAGAGGGCAAATTTATATGAGGCGTACTAAAACGGGACCAATATTGACAACATTGTGTAGGAATTAGCGTATACTTGGTGTTTTCATTATGTAAAGGGCCCCATACACTATAAATCATGCCGTCATGCCGATGAACCCCTTTTTGTATATGTGAGATTGACTAGTGTATGGCAAACTCTTCAATCACTATTCCAAAAAATCGATTTTTGTCCCAAAAATTGCATTTTGAGTCGTAAATTCAGTTGTTTTTTATTCCGTCACAATTTTATTATTTTTGTACACAAAATTATTTACTGACAACTTTCAAAATGAATATTATTCACCAGATTGATAGGGGTTCATTTTCAAAATCAAAACTATTTTGATTTTCTTCATGCATTGTGTGTGTCACACATACATAAATAAACTTTCAAAAAATAACACATACTATTATAAATGCTGTACGACATGATGTATAGTGTATGGGACCCTTAAGAGTTATGCCTAATTAAGGGCCGATATAGCTCAAGTTCCAAGCTAATAATTTAGCTTTGAATCCCAATACCGTGCATCACGCTAAATATTAAATATGTAGGGTGTTTTATATAGGACCTGGGCCTAAATGCGGGTCGATATAGTTCATTCCCAAACCTCTCGTTCCAGTTTTTATGTCGAGATCCTCCGATAGAAAAATTATTACAACATAAGGCTAAATCGACTATATCGTTTTAGAATTCCATACCATGCAGGGTATGAACTGAAAATTTCGTCTACAGAATATCCCCCATTCGATGGTGGAATACAGCTATATGGGGATAACCCCAACACGGAACAAATTAGCTAACTATTTTAATATAAACAAGTGAAAAAGCGTTAAGTTCGGCCGGGCCGAACTTTGGATACCCTCCACCATAGATATACTAACAGGAACTTGAAATGAAAATATAGGTATAATACCAAAAAGTGGACCTATATCGACATTTCCACAACCCGGTTATGTAAACCACAATGTAAACTATAAAACAAATTTCATAAATTTTTAATGGACAATTATACCCTCAGATTTATGGATAATGAGGGTGTATACACTTTGACACGGTTAAAAAGGTTTTAGACCCCATGTTTCTTTTGACCAAATTGATTTCAGAAAATTTTGATTTCATCCACTCCTTCTGGTACCCCCCACACAGGGGCTAGGTCTAAATACGGGTTATAGTTCATATATAGTTCATTATCGAACCTTACGTTCTAGTTTTTTATCTCGATATCCTCCGCAGGTGATATGATTACAACAGAGTCTTAAAACCAAACCCAAAACGCGGAACAAATTCCATAACTATTTATACCCTACACAACTATGTTGTCAGGGTATTATAGCTTTGTGCAGCCCCAAATGTTTGTAACGCCGCGAAATACCTTTAAGTATACCGATCGTCATATCTCGACTAGCTGAGTCGATCTAGACATGTGGGTCCGTCCGTCCGTCCGTCCGTCTGTCCATTATAATTTGTAAACACGATACAGGCCACAGTTATGGGAAATTTTGCATGTAGGATATTAATGAAGAATTGTTTTTTCGGTTAATATTTAGAGGATGAAATGGACCAAAAACATTATTTTTGTCGGTTGGTCGCTCCAGAGGCCGCAATTATGGCCCAAACACCGCGAATTTTTGCATGAAGAAGGGGACAAAATAACATGTTTTGATAAAGATCAGCAATATTTAGCGGGTCAAATGGACCCTGACTTTTGTGTGAAAAATGACAAAATTTGTATTCTATGGCATATATATTTACTCCTGGAGGATGTTGAGTTCATAGCATATCAAAGAGGAGTGGTTGGCCTTTAAATTGATACCAAATATAGTGATGTATCTACTCAGATGTGGGAGTTACAGTCAAATATTTACAGGTGCTTACGTATTCAGATATTTTTTAGTAACCCATTACCACATTAGAGGGAGAAATATCGCGCTGATGACTTTGAAATTTTTCATTAAGTTCCAGTTATGGTCAAGAACAACGCCTACAATTTTCGGTGATGATCAGATTAAAATTTTGGGATGAAATGGACCGAAAACATAATTTTTGTGTGTTTTCGAGTAGAGTATAATCCAAATCACAACACAACCCACCGTGAATGTAATCTGGACAAGTAATTATAAGGACTGTACTGAATATTCGAAAAAAGTAAGGAAGAGGTGTTTTTGACCTCTAATCGGACAAGAGGGGGCAAATATCTCGAAATATTACTCAGACTCGGAATAAACATCCTCAGAAAGTTAGAGTTCGTGGTAGTTGTGTAGGGTATGCTCCGCTCACTGGTTTAATATAAAAAGGGGATTATATGGGGACTACCCCAAAAAGGGGGTGCATATTAATAATTTTTTGTAGGGAAATTTGTTACCATATACGACTACAAAATAACAAATTTCAGCGAATTCGGTTGAAAAACGTGCTCAAGAACCTCAAAATAGCGAAATTTGGGGGTACCCTTATATGGGGGCTACCAGAAAAATTGGACCTATATTTATAATTTTTGGTGGAGATATTTGGCACCCAATAAGAACTAAATTTACCAAATTTCAGCGAATTCGGCTGAAAAACGCGCTCAAGAACCACAAAATACCGACATTTGGGGGGTACCCTTATATATGGGGCTACCAGAAAAAATTAACCTATCTTTATAATTTTTGGTGGAGAGATTTGCTACCCAATAAGAACTCAAAGTATTTAATTACAGCCAATTCGGTTGAAAACTGCGATCAAAGCCCCCAAAATACTGAAAATTAGGGGTACCCTTATATGGGGGCTACCAGAAAAAATTTACCTATATTTATAATTTTTTGTGGAGAAATTGGGTACCCAATAGCAACTCAATATACCAAATTTCAGCGAATTCGGTTGAAAAACGCACTCAAGAACTTCAAAATACCGAAAATTGGGGGGTACCCTTATATGGGAGCTATGCCTAAACGTGGACCGATATATCCCATCTTCGAACTTGACCTGCCTGTAGATAAAAGACGACTCTATGCAAAATTTTGGCGATCTATCTCAATTCGTTTAGACGCTAGAGTGATTACAACAGACGGACTTGCTTAGATCGTCATTGAATTTTACGCTGATCAAGAATATATATACTTTATAGGGTCGGAAATGATTATTTCGATGCGTTACAAACGGAAAAACAAAACTAATATACCCTCCATACTATGGTGGAGGGTATAATAATTGCTCCATATATATGTTTGGAAACCCTAATTATAGGCTTAAAACGTTATTATTGTTCACGGTACTGCAATAGAACGATAATATTATATATCCACTGCTATATCTTTACCACTTACCTTATCTGGCCTAGTAATGAAAATTCGAATATGTATTAAACTGTGACACAAATCGTTGGTATTTTTCCCATTTGTAACTCATCGAAATAATCATTTCCGACCTATATATATATATATATTGATCAGCGTAAAATTCGATGTGGATTTATCCATGTCCGTCTGTCTGTTGTAATCACTCTAACATCTAAACGAATTGAGATTGAGATAGATTGCCGCGAGTTCACCCATAAGAACTATAAAAAATGGGTTGAGGCGTCGGGCTAGTTGCGCACACTCGGAAAACCCAACCTACTAGGAAAAGGCAAGAAAAAGAAAAGGAACACGATCTGCGAATCTGCACTTGTCCGCACGTTGAACAGAATAGACGAAGTTTTCGCTTTGGCGGATGTACTCAAGAAGTACAAAAACGATATTATTGCCCTACAGGAAATGGACAGGCGTAAGTTAATCAGACGAATCAGACTGTATTATAGCTGTCATGAAACGATAAATGAATTTGTCTGCGGATTTATGGTTAATAGGATAATAAAATACCTCGTCTCCAGATTCACTCGAGTAGATGAGCGAATTGCTATAATCCGTATAAAAGCGAAATTCTTGTACATCAGTCTTATTTGCGCCCATGCTCCGTCAGAAGACAAAGATGAACAGACCAACGACATTTTTACGAGCGCCTAGAAACTGCATATGACTGCTGTCCTCGCCATGACAATAAACTTCTGCTAGGTGATTTTAATGCAAAAATCGGAAGGGAAAATATGTTTGGCCCCACCGTCGGAAAATTCAGCATCCATGAAGACACATGGAGGCTGAATTTTTGCTGATTGACTTCGCGGCAGCAAAAAACATGGTAGTTATCAGCACCAGATTCAAGCACCTGGATTTCTCCTGATCAAGCAAAGGGGAAATCAAATCGAAAAGCTGCAAACACAACAGGTAGCAGGGGCCTAGTTCGCTCAAGCAGTTTGAAAAACTTCTGGTATGAAGAACCAATAAGAGATGACGGTATAGATTGTATACCACCTAACCAATATGAGGTCATAAAAACAATTAATCGGCTCAAGAACAATAAAGCAGCAGGAGCCGATGGGTTACCAGCCGAACTATTCAAGACTGTTGGTCAGATTCTGGTCAGGAGCATGCACCAGCTAATTAGAACAATTTGGTTAAAGGAATGCATGCCCAATGATTGGAACCTCAGCATCCTATGTCCCGTTCACAAAAAAGGAGACAA